TAGCATCTCGCTCAAAAATGACCAAAGAGTTTATATATTTTCCTATTTAAAACTTGACTCTTCTGTAGTTACATCGTGTATTAAGACCGACGGAAATGTGGGTCCATGGGTGCAGCAGGCGCAATGATATTACGCAGCGCCTGAAAATAGTCCCCAGCTAGCGAGATGCTAACGGTCTAATCAGATTCAATGATCTATGCTAAACTACAGCTAAAAGTGCTACCGCCAGACCCGGAGATTGGCTGAATGGATTTGAAAACGGTAAAACTCAACTGTTTAACTCTAGGGGAGTTGGAAAATGAGCCTATTTTCAAAAATAGTGGAGTGTTCCTTTAAAGTACATTTACATTTCTCTCTAATTTGCTGAATAAGTTGAAACACGCCTATTGTAGAGTACTGAACTGACTATATTCATACAGTAAAAAAAAAAAATGAAGTGTCATTTCTACATCACCAGACAGAACAGCAAAATTAATAAATTCATAATGCAGGTTTTTCCAAAAATGTATAACTTTCCCTCTGCCCCACTATTCTGATTGTACAAATAAATGAGTCACTTTCTTTATTAAAATGTGTAATTCTTTTAAATTTATTATTATTTTTAAAATATTATGTGTGTTCGTGTACAGAATATATTTAAATATATATAATAAAAAATGTAAATGTTAAAAATTATTTCTGTGCTCTGACAACTATAAGCAAGTGTACAGTAATTCCTTATGTTATTTACCAGGAAAGTGTCATTTTTATACAATATCACAATAGTGAGGGGATGGGAAAATTATAAATGTTTGTACATGTTCCCCTCCAGTTATTTCATTCATTACCATGACTGACCATGAACTTGAAACAAAGTCATGGTAGTGTGTTATTTGTCCACAAGATGACAGTCTTGGCCTTTTCCATGCTTACTGTCATCTTATTCTCAATGGCTCTGAAGCCTCTAAACATCAGGAAATTATACACAGTTTGGTTACCCAGTTCAGTTCAGAATGTCTGTACTGATATTGAAATCTTTAATTTAACTTTGCACCAGCGTTTGACGCCTTATGTTATTTACCAGGAAAGTGTCATTTTTATACAATATCACAATAGTGAGGTGATGTGAAAATTATAAATGTTTGTACATTTTCTCCTCCAGTTATTTCATTCATTACCATGACTGACCATGAACTTGAAACAAAGTCATGGTAGTGTGTTGTTTGTCCACAAGATGGCAGTCTTGGCCTTTTCCATGCTTACTGTCATCTTATTCTCAATGGCTCTGAAGCCTCTAAACATCAGGAAATTATACACAGTTTGGTTACCCAGTTCAGTTCAGAATGTCTGTACTGATATTGAAATCTTTAATTTAACTTTGCACCAGCGTTTGACCACAAACCTACCTTCTGTGACATGATCTGAATCAGGAATATATACATACATAGCAGCTAATAAATCACTTTCAATGAGCTGAATATTGTGTTTGGCACCAGAAGGGGATTATGTCTGGATTAGAGTCTCTTTGTGTCTGTGGTATTTTCATTGAAAACTGAATTTAGAAATATGTGCTGCACTGCTTATGTCAGTGTATTTAGTTTGTGCTTCATTTGAGTGTAATATTTTGTTCGGAACAATTTAATCAGAAAACCAAGCTTTGTGTGTTATGTGTATGTGTCTCTGGCAAAGAGAGAGAGGTGGCACTGTAATCGGATGAGCTTCAGCAGACAGGACAAGCGGTAGCCCCCCTCTTAATCTGTTTTATAAGGTTTCTCCCCCGATCATCCTCATAATCACTATTAAACAGCACTTCGGATGACACAAACTAGTTTACTAATGCACTAACATCTTAAAAGTGTACACTGCAAAACATAATTTTCTTAAACAGTATTTGTGTCTTACTTTTCAGTAAAGATATATACATTTTTTTAAAAATAATATTCATTTACTTGAAACTAATTTGCATAAGATATTAGAACTTGTTTCAGAGAATATGTCCTGTATTCAGTTTATTTTTATTTTTCCATTGACAAAAAAACTAAGTTAACATTAAACATTTTTGCATAAATCTAACAATACTTTGTGCAGTTTATGCTTAAAGCCAAAAACAACAAAAAACTATTTGCCAGTGGGATATGAGAATAAACGTTCAAGAAGAATTCACAATTTATTATCTAGAAAAAAGTCTAGTAAATATTTTATGCTGTTTTGTTTCTCATTTACATTTACTTAAGTAAGTTTTTTTAGGAGAGTGTACTTTTTCTGAAAAACAAAAGAAATGTATTGATTTTGCTGTGTTTATCAATAAATATTAATACAAAACAATAAAATCACTTTAAAACTATTAACGCACGGTTATAGTGAATATAGAATATTTAGTCCGTGCTTAGAATCCACCATGCCTTTATATGGTCGTTTTTACTTTTATTGCTTGTTTTATGTTTTCATAAATATTACATAGGAATTCACAAACTAAAGTTCCCTGTTATTTACTACAGTTTTAATACAAGGTTTATTGTATTGTAGAATAATGTGTCCTTCTAAGATGACAAATTAATCACAACGTTGTTGCATGCCATCTAGTGCCTATATTGCATCACAGGTTGTTACCAAAATGTGTTAGATATAGGTTCTCTCAGCCCAAGCGTTGATAAAGGGTGATGGGGGGACAGTGGTGGGATGGAGGGGGATGGGATTGGGCCAGACGTGGAGCTTCCCTGGGAAGAGTCCAGCTGGAGGCGGGAGTGTTCTTGTGGGGGTTAAAGTTGGATTCTCTATAGGAGTAGAAACTAGAAAGCCACTTTTGCTCTGTCTCACTGTCTTTCACTCTTCTTCTCCAACTGTATATACATAACACACACTCATACACACATGTATATCGCCTGATGCTGCCCTCCCTCTGTCCCGCACAGCAGGGGCCAGGGAATGGAGGGGTATGCGGGGGGGATGGAGGGGTGACGCGAGCAGGAGGCTAATATTTTCCAGAGGGAACGCAGAGGACTGCAGGGAGGATGAATTAATGAACACCCACCACATGGTCAACTATGCGAGAGAGAGAGGGAGAGAGAGAGAGAGAGATGGTGGGGTGCAGGGGGCATCGGGTATGACGAGAAAACACGTGAGTTGAGAGTGATGGAGAACACAGAATTCCAAGAAAGAAGATGAGTAAAGTATGTGATGTCTTTTAGTTGACCTACATTGTTTCCCCATTGTCTGGACCATTGTGTAACTCGGGTGTGAACATTAAAAAGCATTCTGTTTAGATATGTGAGCTTACAGTACATCACACTTTGAATAGGATGCATCTCCTTTCCATATCCATACCACTGTATCTTCGCTCGCATTCACATAGTTAACGGTGCAAGTGATAGTTCTCGATGCTTTTGTTTCGTCCAAACAATTATGTCATTGTGTCCTAGAATGTAAAGGGAATAACCTAGACCTTTGCGGATTCTAGCCTCAGAGGTCCGTAGAGACTTGGTATGGGGCTTGTCGTTGGTTGAGGAGCATTTACAATGGAGTTGTGTGACCTGCTCAAGTATACACAGATGCAGATACACACGGCATAGTGACTTACATGAACTGGGAGGGGCCCAGGTTCCTCAGGCTGTTCCCATGCTGAAGACTCGGGGACTTTGAGATGTATTGCAGTGCTGGTTTTAGTCAGCATCTCTAACACTTTTGAAGTTTAGTTGAGGTGGTGTTTCATTGAATTGCATCCTCATATTGCTCCAAAGCTGTATGGCTTTCTATTTTCTGTGGAACACAAAACATGAATATTTGGAGAATATCCTGGATGTTCTTTTTAATGCAATAAAAACAAATGAGGACTGGAGATATCAAGCTTTAAAATGATTTTTTTTTTTAAAGTAGTCCATTTGATTTATCCACTGTATTGTGCAGACTGAAATGTAAATCTTTATTCACTGAAATTCTTCGTTGAGAACTTTGGTGTTCATGAGAATGGCGTTATTTAGAGTTTATTTAGAGTTAGATATTTCCAGTGAATCAGTTTATCCCATTTACAAAACAATTTGTTCATGGATCAGGCTGATTCTCAAATTCAGCTCACTGACAGTTAACACCCTACTGGAAGGGAAGGTCTCAGTAAATCACTTACATTTTAGTCTGTCCATCACACCAAACTATTATAAATCATGTGAGCTACTGATAATTTATGGTGCTTGTGCTTCCTTTTTGAGAATTGAAAGCTCCTGTCCTCATTCATTGTAATTGCATGTAAATAATTGGTATATTCATTTTGGCTTCACAGAAAAAATAATGTCATACAGTTTGGAACAACAGGAGAATGAGTATGAGATGGTTTTCGTTTTAGTTTGAACTATTCTTTTTTAGTAATTCCTAACAGAATTTCATTTTTTTTAGGAATTGCAATGGCAGTAACTTAAAATGAGTTTCAAATCTTGCATCCGGTGAACTTCTCAATCACTACCACACAATTCTAGTGTAGTTCATTACCTATTCGCTGTCATAATCGTTTCATCTCATCCTGAATCTGTTGTCCATTTTTGTCTTCATCTGTTCCCCATTATCTATCGTTGTTAACCGTGGTGAACTGATACAGCATCTCTCTCTCTCTCTCTCTCTCTCTCTCTCTCACTCCCCCCTTTCTCCTCCCAGTGCCTCCCCTTTTCTGCTTTCCTCCACTGTGTTTTTGTGGATGTCTAATGAAATCCCATGTGAAATGGACAATTGTTGCTCTGAGATTATTTATAGACATAAATAAGCAGCCTTGTTGTTTGTTTTCCATCCCTGCTTAAAAAATAATTAGTTTGAAGCAGCGTAGAAGAAAAAACAGACTGAGGCAGAACGCTGAAGCGCATGTCTAGCTGCGCATATGAGACGATCAGCAGCATCTGAGCTGTTCAGTGATAATTTTTGGTGTTTTGTATACATTTACACTTCCATGCTGACACTATGTACACTATTTTTTCTGCAGTGTTCCCTTTACATACATTTTCAACGGTATTTATTGTGGTATTTTAGAGGAAATGTCCTTTTACTGTCTTTCTGTAATATAAAGGATAATTAAAAATGACATTTTTATTTTTTAAATTGTTATTTATTTAATAAATATTTAATATAACACTTAAGTGTAGTTTATAAGCCTTTGTTACTGTGATTTTAGTATGGTAATGAGTGGCCTCTGTGGTTCTACCCATGGTTTCTATGGTCTTCAAGTAAGTTATGGTTATGCTGGGGAACTGTGTCAAATTTTCTCAAGGATTAGGCTATAATTGACTATTTTGACATTAGTCAAATCAGTTTTTAATGCTCTTTGTACAAACTGCAAAGTGAAAGTGACTGGCTCGTATGTGTTCATCCTTATATAAAACAGCATCCTTATTACTTGAACGCACTGGACCTAAGTGGCATAGCTGCCTTATATGAAGAAAGGATGCGCTGAATGTGAAAAACAAGTCACATTGTTCGTTGCTGCCACCACATTACAGACTTTACAACATCCTTTACAAATTTAGTTCGACTGTCAGACTCAATCCCCCACAAAGAAAGCGATGTCAAAGCGCTCACGTGGCGCTGTCAGCAACCGTAGCAGAACTCCGACAGAAGTGTCTGATTTTTGATTTGATTTTCTGTTTTTGTTTCTCACCGGTTTCATCCCGGGGACCCCGGAAGCGCAGTTTCTTTTTGACGGCGGTCTCAGAGCTGTCAGTCAGCGGGCTGTCTCGCTGTCGAACTGAAGGCAGACTCCATAAATAATGACAATGCCGTTAAATAATACACGGCAGAGGGTTACCAAGGCCTCTGTGCACCCGCTAGCATGCAGCGACGCAGGACTCTGTGCAGTGTAGAGGCAGCATTTTCACTGGCAGCTTTTTGTCACATTTGTCTGGGTTTAAGTGACAAACGCTCAGAAAAAAAGTGACTGGAAGGCAAGGACTCAAGTGTGAAAAAACGTGGCCTCTGCTCAGGTTATCACTTTTTTCCATTCTCAGATAACAAGTGTTTTGTTTTGACTGAGTTTGTGTTGTGATCTGTGGATATTATCGGGAGTTTAACACCAGTTTTGAGAAAAGTCTGATGCAATGTGATCAGAATCCAGCACATTTTCAATAATCCGCTCAGTTTTCTTGGTCTTCTTGTTCTCTCTATCTGAAAGAGCGTTTACAATCGTTGAACTGTGTGTGTGTGTATAGTGCTGATGTAACCTTATATTTTCTGAACAGGTGAACAGGGGGCTATCACCATGTTTCCTCTCTTCCTGCTGGACCACCACATGACGGCCAGAGAGCTCGGGTTGTGGAACGGGGTGGTTGCCATGGCTTTTTCCATCTGCGGCTCATCAGTCGGGGGTTTCTTGCTCTCTCAGTACAGGTAGGGAGTGTGTTTTGTTTTTTCGGTAATAAAACGATGGTGAAACTGAGTCCGTTCTAGCTGCAACACCGTTTCCAGCCAAGTCACGCTTTGCCATTAATGTTGCAGGAATGGTGTTGGAAGACTTTGTTCTTTGGATTTCTCCTTACACCTTTTTCTATGCCCCCTCTCGCTTTATCGGTTTCTGTAGCCCACCATCTCTCTGTGAAAGAAACGCGGCCTTTTTCTTTTTCTCAGTGTTTTCTCACTATATCTCTCCACCCATCTCGGCCCCAGGCGCGAAAGAAGGAGAGAGAAAGCGATAGAGAGTGTGTGTGAGAGATAGAAAGAGAGATAGTAATGGAAGTAAACACAGCCTTTTGTGGGAGCTGAGAGTAAAACAGGCTCAGGTGTGAGCTGAAAGGCCTCCAGGATGCATAAGGTTGGACTGCTTGAATAGAGATATACTTGTTGCTGATACGTTGCCCTTGTCTACTGACCTGAGACCGGTTTTTACCAGTTATGTCTTGTAATAATTAAGATAGGAGTTTGGTTGCCTAAACCGTTCCAAGAGCAGCTGGAGTCGCTTATCTTCCTCAAGCGGTATTGACTCATAGGCCCACACACTTGTTAGTGCGCTCAGAGAAAGGCACGAGGAAGAGGATTTTGGAGAAAGACATGTGCAGTGGTTCTGTCTTTATTTCATTCCAGACTTGAGGGCAGACATCCAGTCATGTATCAGAGTTTAAAGTGAAATGATACTCTTCATACTGGACATTTGCCATTTTCTCCAGGCTGGTTTGCTTTACCTTATGGCACCATGAAACAACATGCATTTTAATGCAGTTTTATAAACCACTGGAATGCATTACATGAGCTTCTGCACTTGACGCTTACTTTGATGTATACTTTAGTTAAAATGATGTAATGTTGGTCTATTAAAAGACTAAGAGTAACGTCACCTTTTAGTCTACTGTCTCTGTGAACTACAGTTCTCTAACCATCTAAACAAGTATTAGTGAGGTGATGCAGGACCGCAGATTGATTTCATTTGGACCACAAATCATTTTTCTTTCGTTTATATATACTACTGTTCAAAAGTTTGGGGTCAGTTAGACTTTTTTTTTAATTGATCAAAAGTGACAGTAAAGACATGTAAAATGATAAAAAAGATTTGCGTTTATATTAAGCAGCACAAATATTTTCAACATTTATAATAACAAGAATGGAGTGTCTATTTACACCTGCCTTGTTGGCTATTTACACTAACTCGGCGTTGCTGATACGTTGCCCTTGTCTACTGACCTGAGACCGGTTTTTACCAGTTATGTCTTGTAATAATTAAGATAGGAGTTTGGTTGCCTAAACCGTTCCAAGAGCAGCTGGAGTCGCTTATCTTCCTCAAGCGGTATTGACTCATAGGCCCACACACTTGTTAGTGCGCTCAGAGAACGGCACAAGGAAGAGGATTTTGGAGAAAGACATGTGCAGTGGTTCTGTCTTTATTTCATTCCAGACTTGAGGGCAGACATCCAGTCATGTATCAGAGTTTAAAGTGAAATGATACTCTTCATACTGGACATTTGCCATTTTCTCCAGGCTGGTTTGCTTTACCTTATGGCACCATGAAACAACATGCATTTTAATGCAGTTTTATAAACCACTGGAATGCATTACATGAGCTTCTGCACTTGACGCTTACTTTGATGTATACTTTAGTTAAAATGATGTAATGTTGGTCTATTAAAAGACTAAGAGTAACGTCACCTTTTAGTCTACTGTCTCTGTGAACTACAGTTCTCTAACCATCTAAACAAGTATTAGTGAGGTGATGCAGGACCGCAGATTGATTTCATTTGGACCACAAATCATTTTTCTTTCGTTTATATATACTACTGTTCAAAAGTTTGGGGTCAGTTAGACTTTTTTTTTAATTGATCAAAAGTGACAGTAAAGACATGTAAAATGATAAAAAAGATTTGCGTTTATATTAAGCAGCACAAATATTTTCAACATTTATAATAACAAGAATGGAGTGTCTATTTACACCTGCCTTGTTGGCTATTTACACTAACTCGGCCCACCAGCGTGTGATTGGGCTATAGTCAACATGACAAAAGACAGTGGTCAATAAACAGCTCCAGTGGTGTAGATGGTAAAGCGTGTGCCGTAGTCTTTTTGATGCGATCGGCCCGAGTTCGAATCCACCTTTTACCAAACTTTTTTTTCCCCTCCCTTTTCAAATCTCATATCACATCAGAAAGGCATTTATTTTCAGTAACAATGAAGGAAATAATCGAAAAAGTTTAAAATAAAGTATCTGGTAGGGATAAGGTAGGTGTAGGGAGGGCTTTATTGTCCCAGTAAGGTGGTATCCATTTAATAATTTGAATTAAAATGATAATTTACACTCAATACGTTATTATTGCATACTGTTTTATAATTTACTACAATACTGAGGTGCAGATAAGTGCCACTATTTGCAATAAGTAGTATAAATAGCAGAAAATCCTGCAATCAGCTTTTTTTTAATTAATTTTTTTATAAAATGCCACCTTGCATTTTTCCCATGGCATGACACCAGAGCACCCGGCTCACCTCATCAGCTAACCTCCATTAAAGAGAAGGTCCAGAGAACTGGCACAAGACACACCTGAGCTGCTTTATTATCCCGTTAGTGTGCTGTGCACACACTCACAGGTTCATATTCTCCAACAACAGGCCGTGAAAGACCAGCAGTGTCTGGAATAATCCCATGAACAGGCTCCTTAATTTACAGTTCTCCAAATGCGAGCGGCCCGGGGGTTTGGAAAGAAGCTGAATTAAATAATTAAAACGCAGCTATCGTTTAATCTGCTCTTAAAACAGTAAACTAAACTAAGCCTAGAAGCATCACCTCAGTCCTAATTAAATTACTGTGTCTGAACTGTACAGTACATTTTTATTTTATTAAACAAGAACATTAAGTCGCAGCACCAAGGCATGACTTGGGCTGTATTTAAGAACAAATTAACAAATCAGCATACTAATTGTCTTAGGTGAAATAGTAGTATTGCTTAATGTACAATAGAGGGTGTTAGAATTTTATACACTTCTAGAAATGTATGATTTTACAATATTAAAATATGTAGGCCTGTATTTTTACGGTACTGATATTTTTAGTGGTTTCACACTTTTTCCCTGCTGGTTGTCTGAGACCATCAAAACTGTCAGTAAATTACATTGCCAAGAGCTAGTTAATCTAGTTGGAGACCTTGAATATTCTTTTTCTGCTCTGCTCCTTTAAAGGAATAGTTCACCCAAAAATTCAAATTAGCTGGAAATGTATCCATTCTCAGGCCATCCAAGATGTAGATGAGTTTTTTTTCTGCATCGAAACAGATTTACAGAGATAAGTGCTCATATTTGCAATAAGTAGTATAAATAGCAGAAAATCCTGCTATTTTAACATAGTGTAAATAGAATCTATATATTTGCCCTTAGGGCCAGATTTACTAAACAGGCAAATTAGCTTTACAATGCGCACATTAAAGAACACAGACACAGCCAGATCATTTCCATAATGACCAGCGCAATCTACCAAATTACCGGCTGCTTTAAGACATGCTTTTTTGGGCGTCAAATAATGGCGCAAATACCAGTAATTTGACGAGTGCAAATGTTAGTAAATCGCGTTGCGTGATCCATTTTAATACTCTCCTCCCATAAATTTTGCGTCTGAAAGGGAAACAAACTCCCACAAATGCATATTCAATAAGGTCAGGTGCAAAAATAACTGTGTCCAAGTCTTTTCAGCACTAATTCTTCACTGCCCGTCTTTAGTAAATCCTGACTGTACTATTTTAATGCCAAAAGACGGTTTGCGCTGGCGCAAGCTGTTAGTAAATCTGGCCCTTAGTGTAAATAGCATATTACTAAGAAAATACTGCTATTTTCACTTAGTGTAAATAGAATCCATTGCCATTTGGACTTATTGTAAATAGCCTCTATCGCTATTTACACTTAGTGCAAATAACAAGAAATATTTTTTCTTGTTATTTGCATATTTTATCTTATTATATTGCCTAACAAGAAATATTTATTGAGCAGCAAATCAGTACATTAGAATTATTTCGGAAATTAACATTTTGCATTTTACATAATAAGGTATTTTTAAAGATATTTTTTGATAAAGATAGCCTATTTCATTTTAAAGATAATTTGAATACAAACAAATTTTCTAACCCAGAATTTAATCGAGAGGTCTAGTTTCTAAATTTACGTCCGAGCAAATATCCAAACAATCACAACTTGTACTGTTTAAGCAGTGCATAAATTATTGCATAAATGTACATGCCTTCAAAATACCAGGTGAGTGGGACAGATGTGCAGTTCTAAAACGTGATAAAATCACAGAGTTAAATATCTGCTCAAATTTTCTTACCTCTCTTTCTCTCACTCTCTTTCTTTCCCTTTCTCTGTAACCTCTACCTCTCTCTCTGGTACCTTCATCTTTTTTTTCTCCTCTCTTTTGGTCTCTCTCTCCCTCTCTACGCTAAAGGCAGTGTCAGTGAATGGGGAGGAATGTAAAGTTTCACACGCAGGGGGATCGTTCATTCGACAGTCGTGCATTCAGGCCTTGCTTCCCACAGATTGGGTTTCTGCCGTTGTCTGTTCAGGGCCACTAAAAGCTAATTTGGACACTTATCCCGGCCCCATCTGAAATGCTTGAGTGGCCAAAAACTGACCCCCATACACTGATCGCCATCAGCAATCTGAGAGTACGAATCTTATCGGGCAAACTGCTCGTGTGATACGCCTGTTTTAGACTCGTTTTCGATCTCTCGCACCCTTCTCTCTCGCTCTCTGACTTGCTCGTTTTCCTCTTTAAGACTGTCTGTCTTTCTTACAGCTCTCTTTCTCTCTCCTCTCATCTGAGTGAAATATGAAAGAGTGTTATTGAGTGGATGCAGGGAGGGTGTTTGCATGAGAATGATGGCAGATTGGCTTTCTGTCTGACCGGCTGCTGTTGTTGACTGGGTTCATCTAGATCTAAAAGGCTGGTTTAAGATGACAGACGATTCCTTACTCTTCTCTTAAAGTCCAGTTGACCTTTACCCGCATCTCCTTCTCTCTTTCTCGACTCGCTTTCTCTGTCAGAGGCCTCAGAATCTACTCACATGGAAAGGACGTTTATATAAAGACACAATTTTTACAACCTTAAGGAAGAGTCAGACTAATATTCATGCAATAGTTATGCATTACTGATAAAAAATATTAGATGTGAAAAGCAACATCGTAGAAGCCGTGACTCCAGACTCTGTGTTTGACTGACAGGGCCCTCCGGGTGTTCTGATTGGAGCTGGGAGAAATTGAGGTGTGTGATGGTCACTAATTAGCGGGGGGTTAATCAGCCCGTGGCTGTGGATCTTGGCGCGCTATTGATTATGTCGTGAAGGAAGTTCCCCTGAGAGATTTTTAACTGTTAATAGAGAATCAATTAGAGGGTGTAAGCAAACGCACTGCATGTAAGCATGTGTACAGGAGTGTTTTTCTGTCTCAGTGTGGCAGTCCTGTGTGTTTGACCCTCATTAATGTCCTACAATGACTGATCTGTAAATTAATAGCCTTTAGTTTGCTGTAATAAAATATATTTTGTCTTGTTGATGTTCTATTACATTGCACTACCATTAAAAATGTTGGGGTTGGTAAGAAATAATGCTCACCAAGACTGCATTTATTTGTGCAGAAATGTATAATGTATAATTACTGTTTTGTATTTAAATATATTTTAAAATGTCATTTATTTCTGTGCTGGCAAGGCTGAATTTTCAGCAGGCATTACTCCAGTCTTCAGTGCTGATTTGGTGCTTAAAGGGGTCATATGATGCGATTTCAATTTTTCCTTTCTCTTTGGAGTGTTACAAGCTCTTGGTGCATAAAGAAGATCTGTAAAGTTGCAAAGACTAAAGTCTCAAATCCAAAGAGATATTCTTTATTATTATTATCATTGTTGAAAACTGCTTCATGTTTTTGTGGTACATTTTTTCAGAATTTTTAATAAATAGAAAATAGAAACTCATTTATACAGTAAAACAGAGTAGAAAATAGGTTTTTTTATTTGTAAAATTATAAATGTCTTTCCCTCTCACTTTGGATTCATTTAATGTGTCCCCAACAAATAATAGTATTAATTTCTTAAAACAAAATTGAACTGTGGTGTATATTACATGACATGACATGACATATTGCATATTTGTGGAGTTTGAGATAACATAACTGAACTTTCTCTCTCTTATGTCCTCAGTATTGGCATGCTAATGAGACGTGTGTTTATGATGCGGACTGTCAGCATGGTCTTCCAGAGCTCACTTCTCGTAGTGCTAGAGCCCTCGCCCTTGATGAAAGGTGAGAAATGTACATACTTGTACACACTAAAGTATACAAACATGGTATTTTACCAATATTGGTATTAGTGCAGATTTATTTTATTTTGCAATTCAATAAGGTGCTGCTCATCTTTATGCTTTAATGCATTTATTACTGCCTGTCTTGTGGGTACAGTTTGTTCGTAAGAGCCAGATAGCTCACCTGTACGTATGTATATATATATAGAAGTGAAACTGACCTGTTCTCTTCTGAGCTTTCTACTGTTCTCCTGCATTTAAGCATCCATGGTGCCGTCTCTGGTTTCCAGTGTTTTCCACTGACAGGCTAAAGTGTCCATTTCAGCACCTTGCACAGAGTAAACAGGTGTGAATAAAACTCTCAATGCTGCATTAAACAACAGCAAGTGATAAAAAGGGAGAGTATTAACATGAATGTCATTCAGACCAGTATAGAGCTCATCTCGCTATGGTGAGATCAGAATAGAAAAGTGAAAATCAAAAGTTAATGTTTGAGATTATTTAAATGATTTTCTTTTTCTAAAATTTGGTAATTTAACTATAAATAAAATCTAGATGGGTAGGATAAGACATTTGCATTTTTTTTAATGACAGAATTTAATTATCATCAAAGCTCAACATGTAAAATAGTATGTAAAATATTTTTTGCAAATAATGAGATCATCAAATAACAATGGCAAAAACTTTTGTGGTACTTACGTGACAATTGGAGAATGTTATATATATTAACATTTTATTTTTTTATATATATATATTTTTTTATAAATAATATTTATGTATGAGAAAATACTATGCAAATATAATAACATTTAAAGATTATTTCACTTTTTTTTTAATTAAAAAGGGGAAAAAATGGTCAGATTAATTGGAAATTGACAATTGTTGAGTCTGTTCACAGACAGATTCATTTCATCAGTTGCTCAAGGCTCTTTATTTGTTGCCTTAGGTGTCTGTTTTAATATAGAAACCAAGTACCAGAGGCTGATATCTAATCAAAGCCGAACTTTCAGTATTGATCCAACCTTAGATCAACGTTCTCTCTTTTCTGAAAAATTATCTTGAACTTTTATTCGATGAATCTTCTGTAAGACTCCTGTAGATCTGATTAACCGTCTTCATAGTCCTAGTGCTTGGATTCAGCACAATTCATGCACAATTTTATGCATGAGCTGTATAGAAGTGATCATACAGAAGTTATGTCAAACATACTATCTCCCGGTTCAACTTGCTTAAGTGGATTTGCGTTTCTGTTTCTGTCTGCAGAAGCCAACGCTATTTTACCTTGAGTATTCTCACGGCTCACTTTGATAAATGAATAAACCCATATTCAAACCCTCTGCCTGTTTCTCTTTTTTTCTTGTGCCGTCTCTTTCTCTCACAGGTGCTTTGAATGTTTATTTAATGAAAATGAAAAAAAGGAAACGGGGAAACTCTTGCGTTTTAGCTGTTTTACTCAGTATTTTTTGCCACTGTATTACTTCTTCCCTAGGATGTCGTGGCTTTTTAGTCAAGATGTTTTTGTCAGCGAGCTTCTGTTTGACAACTCCCTCATCTCTCTGTCTTTCTTATTCTCTCTCTCCCCGTCTCTCTTTCTGCCACTCTCCCAAACGAAACGGAACAAAGCAACTCTGTACCCCATCTAACCCCCCTTAAAAAAAAAAAGATAAAGTTCTGCAGAAAATATTTTTCAATATTGTATGAGACTGGATGCCTCAGAAGAGCTGATTTTCCTTCCTGTGGTTCCTGGATAAGTAATGGAGAAGTCTTGTTAGGCAGAACTAAACATTTCCAGTGAATAATTCAGATGGAGCTGGATGTGAAAGCTTCATGATTTTTTTTTTTTTTCGGCAAATGGGCTTCTGGTAATGATTGATTTGAGATTCATGATTTTTAGAGGCATTAATGGTAGACTGTTTGTCTCATGCTCTGGGTGGACGTTACTGTGAATTAAATAATCAGCTTCAAAAAGGCCAAAAAGACTAAGAACTAAGAACTAGATTTTAAGTGTCAATTGGGCCATCATGTAGAGTCAGATTTGTGTGTCTGTTAAGTTTAACTACTAGTCGTTTGACATGGTTCTGTCAGCATAAATAATAGTCTGGGAGAGCTCAGTTTAATAACTAGCAAGTCCTGTTTCTTCTAACATGGGTATGACAGTGTTGAGTATGAGTAAGCACACACTATAAGACAGAAGACCATCACTCTTAATACGTTTAAAAATTCTCACAATTTCTTGTTTTCTGTCGTATTGGTGCATTTTTTTCCTGTCTGTGTAAGTCTACAGAGACTCACAGTTTCTTGTTTTCCGTCATGTTGGTGCATACTTTCCGACTGTTCGCAAAATTCAGTTTTCACACAGACATATCAACAAACAACATGAAGGAAAGGCTTGTGGTCATTTTGCACTGATTTGCACAGAACAGTTAAAAAACGTAGGGAAAAAACTTGGAGATGATGTGGGCGACATTTATTTTATTTAATATTTTATTTTTATTTTTGGACTCCTTAAATTTTTATTTTTTAGTTTAGTTTAGTTTTGTTTTGGGGCTCCTGCTTCTACCTGTTTTGTTCTTTTGCTACCTTTCACAATTTTATTGCTCAGTACAGCATGCAAACATGGCGTTCAGTCATGCAAAATTTTTATTTTTTTGTTTGAAATTTGTCATAGTGTTTGTTACAAGCACGCCTTCCAGTGAGATACTTCATATGCATTTCAGTAACTGTCTGCTTTAATTTGGCTACCATATTGGACAAAAGAAAGATACATTTGGCTTTCAGAGGATTATTGGTGACCCCAGCCCATCCTTCAGGTCTTTTACACTTCCAGATTTCAGAAATGGGTAGGAAAAATAATTTTGGACCCTCTTTGAGCATTTAGAATAGTAACTTTAGACTGAGCACCAGAACATCCAGCCACAAGAGCAGCCCCTTCCCACAGACCATATTTCTCATGAACAGCTAACATGTCAAATCTTCAGTGCAATATTTCAGAGACATTGTGCATTTTTACTTGCAGTATGTAAATTCAAAGTCACAAATTCAAACTTGAAGACAAGAACACGCTGCAATGGGCAGTATTGTATTAATTTGGATTGTGTCTTCTTTCTCCCTCAGGTATGGCAGTGCTGAGTCTGAGTTTGCAGAATTTCATAGCGGGTCTCATCACCACTCTGACGTTCACCACAATGATGAACTGCACACAGAGAGCCGAGGAGAGCATACAGGTATCACACGTTACCCTCTTCAACTGACCGTAGCTCTTCACACTTCCTGACAGATCAGAGCAAACTGCTTAACGGCATCACACGTGTTCACCTAAGGTCAAAAGTGTGACAAATTTATTGTGTTTCTCTTCAGTTTCAACAGTCAAACTCTGAAGACAACAAAACATGCATCTTACAGTTTTTGATAGTTGTTGACAGGTAGAGTCTCACAACAGGTCATGAGCTGCAGAAAGCCTGAGAGTGTTTCCTGTCTGCCACATACGTGAGCACATCACAGCAGTCAAAAGCTCATTTATCTGTCAGTCAATAGCTCCACTCAGAGAACTGAGCCGTTTTCACACTCTCTTTAGCTCTACACGTCAACCCATTTCAACTCATCAATCACCTATAAAGCATATGCATCGGAAAGTATATTCACATTCATAGATTTGACTTTTTTTGTTTTAATCTTTCTTTTTTTTTTTAATTTGTCAAGATTATATCTTTGGTTGTAGAAGTAGCCCAGTGGTTAGTTCACATGCTCTGACACATTAAATGATGGTGCTCATGTGGGCAATGCAAGTTTAAGACTGATTTGTGTTATTTCCCGACCCTGTTCCCAAATCTTCTACATTTTCTTCTCAAGAAGGTCTCAACAGTAACAACTTTCACTCTTTCAGTATAACACTACCGTCCGTAAGTTTGTTGTTGGTAAGATTTATTTTAAAGATATCTGAAAGAGGTTTCTTATGCTCACTAAGGCTGCATTTATTTGATCTAAAGTGCAGTAAAACAGTAATATTGTGAAATATTATTTACAATTTAAAATAACTATTTTCTATTGTTATATTTTTTAAATTTGAGATTACTCCAAGAGTCACGTGATCCTTCAGCCTTCAGAAATTCTAATGTGTAGATATGATGCTCAAGGGACATTTCTTCTTATTTTCAATGTTGAAAACAGTTGTGCTGCTTAATATTTTTGTGGAAACAGTCAGACTTTTCCCCAGGATTTTTAAAAAACAGAAAGTAAAAATAAAAAAGAAGAGTGGGGGAGCGCGGGGCACAAAGGGTTAGTTGTAACACGCGTGGTTTGAATATTTCCACACATGCTAGCATAACAAAATTTACAGTATTTATTAGTTACCATATCAACATTATATAGAAAAAAAGTGCGCCAAAATTCAAAAATGTTTTGAAGATATCGCTGAACATTTATTTTACCATAGTAACATTTTCATTCTGGCTTGAGTAAATTTTTCATCTCAGTTTTTATTATTCATTTCAAATTAAACAAATCTGCTATCATTTAAATCTCCAATCTGTTATTTATCAGTTCAGATCGTTTTGTAATGCTTTGATAACTAGCAGAAGACACTAACCAGTTTTAAATTCCAGTTGCGCAGATGGGGCACATTGTAACACTGCGTTACAATGTGCTATTCTATGACATTAGCAATGTAATTTACACTATTTACCTAAATTAATTTTAATGAGAAACACAGGTGAATAAAAACTGACAGTCAATGTTTAATGTTCAGAAATTATTATTTCAAGACATGTAAAGCATTTTTGCTCGTTTATGTGGGCCGTCCCAAGCATGGTTGCAGTGTGTTCATTGTCAAACTCCAAAATCAGATTATTTTTAATTCTTAAAAAACGCCATTATTTTATTTGAAAAAAAGTGAACATTTGGGCGGCGTTATGCAAATCTTCCCACATAGTGACGTAGATATAGTGACGTACTCTTTGCAACTTTACAGATCTTCTTTATGCACCAAGAGCTTGTAACACTCCAAAGAGAAAGGAAAAATTGAAATCGCATCGTATGACCCCTTTAAGTTAAGTCTGTAAAACCTAAAATGTTGCTACCATATTTTTTACGGTGAAGTTCTGGCAACCACAGCTGCCGGTATTTTACCGTAAATGTCACCGATTTTTTTTTACAGTGATACGCAACTCGGTATTTCACGCAGTCTGAAACCGTCTGAAACATGTCTCTTGTGCGCGCTTTGATTTGTGCGAGAACAGCGCGTGAGTAACGAATTGAGCTCTCTTTCGTTTCTTCTTGTGGTTTAAAATTGCTTGTACATGTAAATTGGCAAATTAATCTGCGAATCACGTGCGTGCCGAACGGTGGGGTCTCATCCGTACGTATTACGGATCAACTGCGATCCGTTTAACTCCTAATATGTGATAGATCAGAGCAGTCTTTCATTTACTTATTTAACATGAAATGATCAAATTGCTACTACATATCAATCGCATACAAAAAAACAAACAGAATAATTAGAACAATAATTAACATAAATAAATAACAGTTTCTCATATCTATACACATTTTTCCCAGAACGTTCTTGCGACCCAGCAGCAATTCTTCCACGGCCCGGTAGTGGGTTGCGACCCGGTGGTTGGGGACCTCTGGTTTTAAACACCTTTTTTTTTCAACTTCATGCATCCTTGTAAAATAACATAATTTCTTTCCAAAAAATTAAAAACAAATAAAAAATCTGGTGGCCAGTCAGGCCAGCACCAGAAAGTTATGCATTTTATTTATTTAATTTTTTTAATGTGTCAGAAATATATAGTTATTTAGGAATCGTTATTTTAATGTTATTGTTTTCCTTAAAAAAAAAAAAGTTTTTAATATTTACAATAATATCTGAGAATTATACAACTGTTTATACAGCTACAGTGTTTATGACTTCCATGCTGCAAATCTACTGTATAAACAAAGATGACTTACAGTGCAAATGTTTGAAGTAGCCTAATCAATGTCTTGTGTTTTGTAAGTGCATGGGAATAAAGCAGCAGATGCATTTTGCATTTGTGCTTCTTGTAATGTATATAGTTTGCGAAACAAACCTTATGCAAGGTGCATTAGGTGTGTATCTTACGTCAGCTGCTGCTTCTGTGTCACTTTTACAGTGTAAAGACATCTTATCTGTCTATCATTAAACAGTCCATCCATACCAGCTCTATTCTTCACAACAATCAGCTCCCTATTTTGTCCCACTAATCTTGTGTTGCCTAATTTCTCTCCTTGTTAGTTCATTTGTTCATTCATTCTATTTGTTTATTTACCTGTCCCCTAGATGATAAACTGTAGTTCTCACTGTTCATAGATATCTCTCCCCTCCCATGTTCTCTCGTTTCATCCCCTCGTTCATCTTTGACATGATTGTATTGTCCTGCTTAAATGGGCCTGCGCTGCTTGCATGTGATCTTTCACTGCTCTCCCAGCTATTTGTCACTCCATCAGCTCAATACGTGCTGAATTAATGGCGCTAACGAAACTCATTAAACAATAAGAGAAGTGTATGTTTTCCCTCGGTCTCTAAGCAATTAAAAACGTCAGATTCACATTCTGAAGAAAATAACCAGGAGGAGGATTGTAAACTGTAGGTTAAATCAAATGTTCATATGACATATATAACGTAGCGAGAGCAGCTTGTGTGTGTGTTTGTGTGTGTTTGTTTTAAGGTGGTTTTAGCCGACCGAAAACCGATACTGTGAATGTTGTGCAAAGGCCCTGGAGGGAGAAACTGAACACCTTAAACAAGTTTGTAGGAATAAAGGTACTTCACTTAACTTTAGTGCTGGGGCCATGTGAAGGAATGGACTTGGCTTTGCTTTCCCAACTTGTGTGCTAAGAGTATGGAGACAGTCTCTGGCGTCCAGACAGGAGAGAGCGATTCAGACTGCTCTTTGATCCTCCTGTTGGAATTGTTTTGATGTGAGGCAAAGTTAAAAATGGATAAATAAGAATCATGTTAAAAAGTCATCAGTTGCTTTGAAAAGTAACACATGTGAAAGGTTAAAAGCAAACATTTCAGTTGTATGCATGCTCACGTCACTTATGACATCAACCTGAGTTTGATTTTTTTTCTGATCCTATGTTCTTCTCTCTATTGTTTTCTTTACTATCTCTGATTGTTCTGTCCTATGAAGACAAAAAGGGCAATGATATTTAAATTAGGGAAGCACAGTGTATATTGGTTATCGGACAATATTAGAGAAATTTGTAGCTTGTAATTTTGTATGTTTATTTGAATTTAATTTGCATATTTTATTGTGCTTGATAATTTTCCCTATTTTTATATCATCTAATGCTTACTTAAAGTTCATGTATTTGTATTTAGCTTTGATATATTTCATTTATAGTTATAAATAATTACATTTTAGTTCACGTTAAGTTACTAAGGCATTATTTTTACATTTGGAAGTTTTTCATCAAATTGTTTTATTTTATTTTTTTTATTTCAGTCAGTGAAAAAGATTTATAAGAGTTTTAGTTTAAGTTTAACAAAACGTAACATTATGTTGTGATGTCTACATTTGCTTGTATTATTTAACATTAATGATTTTTTTACATTTTCTTTTTAAATTATTTAAGCAAAATACTATGGAATTGTAATATGAGTTGAGTTCTTTATCAGCCATAGCATGAAAAATATTGGGGTTTTGGGCAGATTTTTAAAATGAGTGCGTCCTAATATAAAGATCACTTGCATAATTAAATGCAGGACCTTTGCAGGATTTGAAAATATTTCATAAATCAGTGAATGAATGGCTTGTTTCACACATGGATAACATCTGAATCTAGCCTTACAGCAAAACACATTTCCCTTTCTTCCTTTATAATTTACTGTCCCTTTTTCATTGTTCTTGAGAAAATCCCACAAATTGTCAAAAGTTAATGCTAAACGACTTTCTGTATTTCCCTCTCTCTCTCTCTGTCTATGTTCAGGCCACCCACTACAGTTTTCTGGCCACACTGGAGGTCCTTGGGAAACTGAGTTTTAGTGCCCTGGCTGGAGGTATGGTGGACACTGTGGGCTTTCCCATAGCCTTCATCCTCTTCCTCTTCCTCACCTCCAGCAGTGCCCTGCATGTGTGGAGAGCCTCAGAGACTGGCGTCCTGAAGGAGCAACTCAAAGAGCAGCCACAGTGACCAGAGTTAGCCTATGAGAGAGAGTGTATGTCTGGGTGAGAGAGAGGGAAGTCAAATCTTATGTTTCACATAAGATACTGGTGACCAAATAGCCAGTGAAATTAATATGTTGTTTTTATTTGTATTTATTTATAACTCCACCAGCATTGATGTGACAAGAGCCACACAAGCACTCTCACCGAAAGCCAGTACCTCTTAACAGCTACATTGCACCTCTACAGTAAACTAGCTTTAAAGGTACTTGCTTTTCAACAACAAGTCATCCTGAATGGCAAGTGGACTGAGCTATGGCAACACTGTGCACATGTCATCTAGTCTGCCTGAAGGACAGCAGTTAATCATTTAAACAGCAAAATGTGGTTAATCTATTACGTTTGATATAACGGACAATGACAACTGTATTCTATACAATTTTACTGGTTATAAAAGATCTATATCAGGGTCTAGTCAAGTTTGGTTTAGGTAATCACCCTAGTCATTTACACATTTCATTATATACAGCATGCATTCGCATGCCTTAGAAATGCCTTTAGTTTTTAATCTGATGCCCTCTGACACCTTAGATACAATTCCATCAGCTTATTGACCAATCAGCAACACACTGGGAGCAGTATGAACATTGAATTATGGTACTATGCTTAGTGGAGTGCATTTTTGTATTCTCAATGCAATACTTAAATTAAAGGGGTCATATCATTGAATATTCATATTGCGTTAAATATAAGTTAAGTGTATGATGAAAAAGCACTGTAGCTTTTTACAGTATTATACATCGACTCCTATTTGGTGCTCAGCGACTTGATCCAAAAATATTGCTTAACTCCAAAAGAATCAATGAAAAGAGTGAAATTAGTTAAAAACCTTGTGCTATTCCTGGTTGTGGAGCACCTGAAAATCCTTATCCTTCCTAGGATTATTAGGAAATGTTAGGGAAAATTGGCCCAGCAGCAAATGTGATATCAAGATGGTGTCTGAACGTCTTAAAGGCACAGCAGCAAAAATCAAGGGCCGAAAATAGTCATGACAAACTTAATTAGGACTGTTTCGATGCAGAAAACGTGACGAACATTGTAAGTGGACCTCAGGGAAAAAATGATTTGAAAAAGTATATGACATGACCCCTTTAATGATTTTAAATACTGTACATTGTAACAGTTAAACTCATCAAGCTCATTTTTTTGAGCCGATACATGATTGTTTGAAATGTTATGTTTTTGTATGAGTTGTCTGCATTTCCTATGCAATAACACAAAATTATTCATGGTTATAACATACAACTTTGCTTCTCGCACATGAAAAAAAACTTTAAATTGCCTTATTATTTTAAAGATTTACTGCAAAGCCAAAACATGTGGAGCTATTGTTGAGACTATGTAGGCATATGTGTGGGATTCAGTTTTGGAGGGGAATTCAATTTCAGTTGCAAAAAAAAATTATCAAATGAAACTGCAGCTATACATGTATGTAGCGCAGTTACAGTACATGTTTTCCATTCCTGTTGAAAGCAGAACAATATTTAAATATAATACACTATAGTATAGTACAATAGTATAGTCTATCTAATCTTTTTTGTATTTGTTTTCTTGGAGAAATAGAAACGGACAGTCTCAATTAAATGCTACATTTTAAAAATGGTTACAAACTCATAACACTTTATGAAAAAAGTGGAAAAGCTATGGGCAATTGATGGTTATTTTGTCATTAAATCCTCTGATAAGCAAAGCCCTTACCAAACAAGCCATTTTTGTCATTTTAGCTTGGACTAAAGAGACTCAAAAATAAAAGCTATTACTGAACCCAGAGTGTCTGCGCTTTTATGAGTTTATCAGACAAGAATTCAAAGCCATTAGTCTGTGTTATTACGAGATTCTGGGCCATACCACTTACCCTTAGTCTTCAGAAAATCCAATATTGTCTTGTGTACATTTATGTTTTGTACACAGATCTCTAGATCTAACAACTCTCAAGTATTTCCCCCAGATGGAGCCTGGAGACTTTCCCCATAAGATGACACAATAGCTGTAGAATCGTATGCTGTTGATGGGACTGAAACGTATCCGCAGCTTATACCATGACACTGTATACTCTCCCTCCCCATGACAGAGAGATGATTCTTCCCGATCTGTCAGAGGGATTAGGAATCCTTACGTAATTCATGAATAGACCTGCACTTCACCCTTTCACTGTGACATTATTTCCTGGGTGGTTTAGCCGGAGAGAAAACAAGGAAGAAAGGAAGGGAACGTCGTCTTCACACTCCACTTTCACAAAACCACAAGAGACCAAAAACTGGTTAAACAGAGAGTGTGTATGTTTCAAATACGAGCTACAGTGGGTTTTTGCAGAGTCGTCAAAAGTAGATTCAGAAATATAGATTTAAGTATACATTTTCATAAGATGTAGTTTATAGTTTCTTCAGTTCTGAGCCAGATACGGGCTGCTGTTTGCTACAGTATGAAGTACATTGTGATGGAAGATCTGGGCCCACAAATTAGATGGATGGATAGATGCATAGATATATAGATGGATGGATGGATAGATAGATAGATAGATAGATGGATAGCTAGATAGACAGATAGATGGATGGATGAATGTAATGCACATTTAGAACACTATACTTTGTGTTATATTAGATGGATAGATGGATGGATGGATGGATAGACGGATAGATAGATAGATAGACAGACAGATAGATAGATAGGTAGATGATAGATAGACGGATAGATGGATGGATGGATGGATGGATAGATAGATAGATAGATAGGTAGATGATAGATAGACGGATAGATAGATAGATGGATGGATGGATGGATGGATGGATGGATAGATAGATAGATGGATAGCTAGATAGACGGATAGATGGATGGATGAATGTAATGCACATTTAGAACACTATAGCCTACTTTGTGTTATATTACCGTGGCATTAAATTACAGAAAAAATAGTTAATGCTGCTGTGTGAGTTTTTCTAATACAATGGCTGAGGGAGTGACAGCTAACTTGGTGTATTTGTTTCCTTTGACCAATGTAATCGCTTGATATTTTTTCCCTCTTTTGTAAAGTCATAGAATGCTATCATTCATGGCTATTTTGCAAAAGTTGTTTAAAAAAAATAGTTTCCATTCACCACTAATGAAGTTTGCCCAACTACAACCACTTCTGCTTCTGAGAACCCTATAAATGTGAAAAGGGTCCATTCTGAGAAAATACTTGTGAAAATAGATATAAAATGTCTGCTGAATCCATCTGTACCTGATTATGGTAAGAATTTCTGTTTGTACAAAAAGAAGTATCAATTATTTCACTGAATACTGCTTACTGTTTCTTTAGCTGTTATCTGCATACAGAGTGTTTTTTTGCTGTTTTCTCCTTAGACCACAGTCAAATAGCCAATTAACCTCCAGTTAGCTTTGAGCATGAAATGTGGCCAGGATTCACGTCTACAGACAGCTGAATGTGGCTGTCAACTGTTTTTAAGGTAGCAAAGCTGTACGTAGTAAATTGACTTGTCTTACCTAATAGCAACAAACAATAGGTATGACATGAAACAGACCTCAAGTAGTTTCTTGTGCTTTTCCCAGGCATTGAGTTTCCATTTTCTGGGAGCAGAAAGAAGCATTAGAGCCTCAGGTCTTTGGGAAATAAGCTGAGAAGAGAAGAAAGGACACAGTGTAGAGTGAGAAGTAAAGGGACAGTTTGTCTCGTAGTGTCGATTGGAGACCGACCCCCGACTGGGTCCGAGAAATTGGGAGGAGTTGTCCAGCTGAGTGAGTGAGTCCAGAGACCATTCTGCGGCTTTCTGTTTCAGCCTGTCTTTGCATGTCTCATCCAAACCTTGCACAGTATTTTTAACTTGAAACATGACCCTTCTGGATCCATATATTATCCATATATACTATATATTAGTGCTGTCAAATGATTAATAGCAATTAATCGCATCCAAAATAAAAGTTTTTGTCTACATTATATATGCATGTGTACTGTGTATATTTATTATGTATATATAAATACACACATATGGTATATATTATTTCAGTTAATAATTTTGTTTCAAATAATTTTTACTTTTTTTAAATTTTATTTTAGTTAACTATACTAACGCTGCTTGTGACTTAAGATGTGTTAAATTTAAATGCCATTATCATTTACACACCCGCATGTCTTTCCACACCTGTGAGACATTTTTTCTTCTGTGGAACACAAAAGATTGATTTATTGATTGATTGATTCATTAATTCATTCTTGCAGGGTTTTTGTCCACACTGAAAGTCAGTGAGGTCCAATGTTGTTTGAACCCCACTGACTTTTAAAATACCTTCTGTGTTCCAAAGAAGAAAATAAGTTGTACAGGTTTGGAACACCATGAGGGTGAGCAAATAATGACAGAATTTTATTTTTGGGTGAACGGTTCCTTTAACAGTCTCTTTACAGCTGAGCTTCTTCTAAGTTAACTCTAACTAACCATACAGTCACAAACTGACCAGCCCTCTCCCCCAGTGATGTGCTTAGTCCCTATATTAAAAACCAGCCAACTAGCAACCTCATCATGCGTGTGATAAAGTTTCCTTTGTGAGACAAGAGCTGATATTGCAACATGTTTTAATATCGACTAACAAAAGTGTTTTGTGGAGCCCCCAAAGGGAAGAGGTGTTGGCTTTTTCAGCGCAGCTTTTTATGGGCAGGCCGGCAGAATGCGCTGGTGGCTCTTTGTCTGCCAGGGAAACCCTAGCCGGGAGGTGCGGACTGAGCGCAGAGCGGCGGCATCGGATAACCACGCATTTCCTCTCCTGCTATTTACCAGCCTTTTGTTTGTTTGCCGAATGCGAAATATATACATGTCGGTATTTTTAACTTGAAACATGACCCTTCTGGATCCATATATTATCCATATATACTATATATTAGTGCTGTCAAATGATTAATAGCAATTAATCGCATCCAAAATAAAAGTTTTTGTCTACATTATATATGCATGTGTACTGTGTATATTTATTATGTATATATAAATACACACATATGGTATATATTTTGAAAATATTTGCATGTATATACATTTATATTTTATATATTTATATTTAATATATAAACATAACATATTTTTC